AACACCTAATTCTATGTGCTTGGTGCGAGAATGGTGGACAGTATTGGAGGAGAGAAACTTGGCACTCAAATTGTCGCACTGGATGATAGATGGGCGAGGGAGCTTCAATCCAAGCTCCGTGAAATCAAATTACGACCCAGGTAAACATAGAAACCACCTTGAGAGTGATGATCAATAGGGCAACTAGCCCAGTCAGCATCAGAAAAGGCTTTGAGAGCCAATTTTGGAGAAGCACGAAAAGTAAGGACATGATCAATTGTGGACTTGAGATAATGAAGGATCCGCTTGACTGCACTCCAATGAACATCAGTGGGTTCTTTCATAAACTGGCAAACTTTGTTAATTGAGAAGCTGATGTTTGGTCGAGTAAGGGTAACATATTGCAGTGCCCTCACCACACTACGATATTCGGTGTTTTCTGGAAGAGGAGAACCATTGCTCACATCAAGTCTGGTAGATGCCGCCATTGGTGTATGAACAGGTTTAGCCTCATGCATCTTGGTCCTAACGAGAAGATCATGAATATATCTACGTTGGAATAGGTGCACCCCATTTGAACTGTGATGCAGCTTCAAACCCAAAAAGTAATGAGCTTCCCCAAGATCTCGAAGAGCAAAGGTGTTAGAGAGCTGAGAGATGAGCTAAGTAAGTGTAGAAGTAGAAGAGCCAGTGATCAATAAGTCATTCACATATACAAGAAGAAAAATGACATCAGTGCCAGTCCACCGCATGAATAAAGAACTATCTGCTCAGGATTCCAGAAAACCAAGGTGAACCAAATGATCCCTTAATCAAGTAAACCAAGCCCGCGGGGCTTGTTTCAAACCATAAAGGGAACGTTTAAGATGACATACAAAATGCGGCCATGCTGGATCAACGAAACCCATAGGTTGTTTTATAAATACTTCTTCATTGAGATAGCCATGAAGGAAGGCATTGCTCACATCAAGTTGTCTAAGATTCCAGCCATAGTGAACTGCGAGAGATATTATTAACCGAATAGTTGTTGGTTTAACCACCAGACTAAAAGTCTCAGCAAAGTCAATACCGGCTTGTTGAGTAAACCCTTGCACCACCAATCGCGCTTTGTATCTTTCAATGGTCCCATCCGGACGTCTCTTAATCTTATAAACCCATCTATTTCCCACAATGTTCTTATGAGGAGGTGGAGGTACAAAATCCCAGGTATCATTGTGCAACAACGCTTTGTACTCATCTTCCATTGCGAGTACCCAACGGGGATCTTTTTTGGCAATAGTGTAGCAAGAGGGTTCAACATCAGGGTCAACAGAGGCTTCCAAAGCATACCGAGGGTTTGGCTTGCGAATGCCACTCTTGCTCCGTGTCATCATGGGGTGAGCATTAAGTGGGGTCGCAGTGGAGCAAGAGGGCATATCTGATGGCGTTGATGATGATGGTAGCAATTCGGCAAAACTAACACCGGTATATATAATAGGTGGGCTAGGGGAGGTGGAGTCGGGGGGTACGAGAATGGTTTGAGGAGAGGTGCACAGGTATGTAACGATAGGAGGCCCAACGACAGTGTCGGTAACCGATTTGGGAGGTGGAGTTGGGCTACTAGAAGTGCATGGGAAGGTATGTTCATAAAAAACCACATTACGGGAAATATATAGATGTCCAGATGTTAAGTCCAAGCATTTGTACCCTTTGTGATGTAAACTGTAACTCAGAAATAAACAATGCTTAGATCGATTGTCCAACTTAGAACGGTTATAGGGTCTGAGATGCGGATAGCAAACACATCCGAAAGTGCACAACATAGTGTAATCGGGTTTAGTGCCAAAGAGACACTGTAAGGGAGAATTCATGTCCAGTATTGGAGAAGAGAGCCGGTTAATTAAAAAAATTATAGTCTCAAAGGCATCATACCAGTAATGTTTGGGCATTGAAGCCATAGCCAGGAGGGTGAGACCCATTCCAACAATATGGCGATGGCGTCATTCGACAACCCCATTTTGGTCATGAATATGAGGACATGAGAGACGATGAGTAATGCCTAAATCAGAGAGAATAGGGAGAAGTGGTTTGTATTCTGTACTTTCATCTGTTTGCAAAGTTTTGATAGAGGTGTTAAATAAATTCTCCACATTCTTCTTAAAAACAACAAAAATAGAGACAACTTGAGTTTTAGAGGTCATACGAAAAATCCATATATACTTGCTGTAAGCATCAACAAAAATCAAATAATAGCGAAAACCATGTCTTGTAGAGACAGGGGCTGGTCCCCAAACATCAGAAAATAAAACTTCTAATGGATACTTTGCAACAAAAGTACTACTAGAAAATGACAAGGTATGACTCTTGGCTAGTGGACAGGATGGACAAAAAAAGATGTCATTATTTGAAACTGGAAGCTGAAATGAAGATAAGATGTAGGCAACTACTTGCTTGCGAGGATGCCCTAGCCACTGATGCCATACTAAAAACGATGCTTTCTCACCAATGAACGCCGATGAAGCTGTAGATGTGCAATTTGTCTTTAGCTGATAGAGCCCTCCCTTAATTGGCCCTTGGAGGAGAGTTTTCCCGGTTGCTTTGTCCTTAACAGAGTAGCCAGTAGCGTCAAAAATAAAAGTTGCATTATTATCCTTACAAAACTGACTGGCAAAGAGCAAGTTCTTAGATATATTAGGAACTCTGAGAATATTTTTCAATACAATGGACCCATAATCAATATTCAAAATAGAAGAGCCAATATGAGAAATGTCTAGACCCGTACCATTGCTGACCAGGATATGATTTGTTCCATGTTACTCATCATAAAGAAAGAGATTCCCAAGATCTGAAGTCATATGATTGGTTGCCCCAGAATCAAGATACCAATTTTCATCACGAGCAAATCGTGAAGATAAGGCTGTATGAGCTTGCTTGGTAGGCTTATTGGCAGTGAGTTCCATATAATGACAACAAGTAGCTATTGTATGGCCAGGATACCCACAGAGTTGACAAACCACAGTGGCATTCTTGCAATTGGATATGCTGCAATTATTGTTATAATAAGAAGTTTTCTTGGAGTTGTCAGAACCACCATCATTATTAAATTATCGAGGCTTATAAGAAGAGGACTGATTGCAATTGAAGGTTTTCTTCTCATTGGCCAAATTAGCAGAAGGAGAATCCAATACAGATTGTGAAGAGTGACGCTCTAAGCGCTTTTCAAAGGTAAGTAACAAACTTTGAATTTCAGCAAAAGAAAGACAATCTAGTCTAGTAGTCACAGAGAGCACAAAGGTATCATATTCAGTAGGTAAACCACCAAGAAGATAATGAATTTGATCAACATCAGTGAGAAAATGTCTAGAAGCAGCTAAAGTATTAGATAAACTTTTAATTTTCTGAACATAATCACTGACAATGAGAGTACCCTTCTTCAGATAAGCTAATTCTAATTTCAAATCATGGATTCGAGTTTTACCGGTAGATGAAAAGGGAACATAAATTCGATCCCGTACTTCTCTGGATGTCTTACAACCAATTACTTGAGCCAAAACTAGTTCTGCTAATGAAGATAATAAACAGCTTATGATCAAGTGGTCTTGTTCGATCCATGCTGCATGATTTGGGTTGCTGCGGTTGGATCCTTGGCTACTACCATCTTCTAAGAAGAGTGGAGGACAAGGAAAAGATCCGTTCACATAGCCGTATAAATGATGCCTTCTGAGAGCTGGTGTAGTTTGAGAGCTCCAAAGCAAGAAGTTAGTACGATTCAATTTTATTGAGACTACATTCATAAAACTAGAAAGGGAGACCACCATAATGGTTCGACCATCTATCGATCAAGGCTGCATTTGTCTCTGGACAGCATGAGCAGTGGTGCTTGTTTCTGAAGCCATGACGTTTGTCAAAATGGCTCTGGTACCATATAAGAGCAATACTAAAAAAACAATGAGAATGGAATGACTCAGTCCATGATGACTGGTCTCTTGAATCATTTAAATAGAGAAGTTACAAGAGGATAACTATGTATAGAAGATAACAATTACAAAGTTAGAGTTTATCTAGGAAATTACATGATAATGAGATAAGGTGATCAGTTATCTAGGATAGCTATCCTACATAACCATGATCAGTTATCTAGGATAGCTATCAGAGATACCCATCCTAGTTACAAGTCTATGATAACTATTGAGATACTCTAACAACATAACTTCAATATATGTTTGGCATTGATGCTGCAGATACAACATCTATTGATGTGTGGGTTGAAAACACCATTTTTTGAGAAAACAAATGTCTTTTTTTTTTTGTTTGGAAACATTGCTGCCAGGTAGGACGTTTCCTGAAGCAACAACACCTTCTGTTTAGTACCAGTGCTCCATATCTGTTTTCAGCACTAGTACCCATTCTAGGAAGTCCACATCACTGCCACATCATATCCTCATTAATGACAGCAACAAGCTCCAATATGAGAAAATGTCGAATTCGGCGTTGCTCCAAACCATGCCTTCTCGATTTCCAAGGCATGGCTTGGAGCACTATTTTTTATGGAAAAATGGTTCCAAATATATTGGAATTTTCTGGAGCACCACTTTTTTTTTCCAATGTGGCGTTGATGTGTTGCCTTTCTGAAACAGTGACATCTATGCCAAACAGACACTAATGTGCTGAACCACGTAAATCTGTGGGTATTTCTTCTCTTTTGGTGTTTGATTTCTTTACTTAGTTTTTTACTCTTCTTTTTGTTACACAGCTTAAGAATTGTCAAAGTGCAGAAAATGCTCATTGATCACTATTATATTGTATGGGCTAGTAGTCACACCTAGAGAATAAAAACTCATTCAGGGACCTCACCTAACAGTTTAAGCTTTTATCTTGAATGGTTTCTTGATATGGCATGATCCAAATCTGTTAGACCAACTAATCTAATATTGGATACTTATTACTTCCATTAAGTTTAGGCATAAATGGGTCCATGCTTATCCGCGCTTCAAACCCATTGGACTTTAACATGAGGGGACATGTTAGAGAATAAAAACCTATTAATGCACGCAAATCAAAGAAGATTAATAGAAAATAATAACACTGAAATGAACTAATACAAGTAGAAATAACAATGGAGGAACTGAAGGATATCTCTGTATGGTACAAAAAAGAAAAAAAAAATCACTCTTCTAGAAAGAGTATCACTTTTTCACCCAAAACCTAACCTCTAAAACTATGACAATAAGAGCCAAGATTGCAAGAATGATGCCATAGCCAGCATTCCATGAATCTCCACCATTGCTAATGCTGATTCCATAGAAAATATTTCCTATCCCCAACAAAATTGCACCCCTTCCAAAGTAGTGATGAAACCAGTTCCAGTACCTTCGGATCTTCGACGCCTTGTCTGGTCGAACTAGAAATGCCGATACCTACAAAATTCAATAAGAACAGTGTCAAGATGATTGATCATGGAGGTTGGATTAAATGAACAAGCTGGATGATCCAGCTTTCGTGCATTTAGAAGCTAGTTGAATCTAACATAGTTTTTGAACCATCATTGACCGAGACAGTTGGACTGTTTGGCCTGGAAACCATCTAGGGAATTGGTTATGTTTCACCCCTGGTTCGGTCTTTTGTCAAAAACCATTGATTTGGTCAGTGACCTACTGACAAGGGTGATGAGATTGTTGACCTATTTGATCAAATAACGATTTTTGGCCATTTTTTGTTTTAATTTTTTTTTTTTAAATTGCAATAAACTATCCATTCAGATCAGATGGTGGAACTGTTGACCTGAAAACTAGTGGACAAAATGGCTCCGATTCCGGGTCTGTTTTTAAAACATTGGAATATAAAAAATAATTGAATATCAATCTTTCAAAAATGAAGCCATGGCCATTGGTTTGGTCTAGGAAGATAGCACAATTGCTCAAGCCCAATTTGGGCTACACAAACTAGGTCTCTGAAGATAGTAAGTCAATGAATGTAGACATTACAAGATACAAGATATCCCAGTGCAACTTTTCTTCCACAAACCAATGTGACTAGTTAAGACATTAGACCTCTTAGAGCTTCTGTAAATTATGAGAAACTAGACCACATGGCAGCCGAGAAGGCTTCCACGTGTTCACCTAATCATCATCCCCCTTATTCCATGCACCCTAATTGGCAGCCACGTGGCAAATTAAAGAAGCTTACTTATGTTTCTTTATTCTATTATTTTATTTTAATTCAAAGTTGAAACTTCAAAAACAGGTTCAGTGATCACATGGCCAGCTCTAACTTCTAACTGTCATTATCTGATTGATGGGCACTGGATTTAAAATGCCACGTCATATCTACATGGCTAAAGCAAATAGGCGCATGATAGTCAAGGAATAGAAGAAGATCAATCCAGAGGAAAAGATGAAAACAAACCCTAAATTATAACAGTAAGTGGGTGCATGTCACAAATTAAAGAAACGCCCACAGTTTTAACTAGGATGAGCTCATCTTATCTCGAAGCTTTATCTTTCCAAATAAAGAAGCGTTGAGTCAACGAAATTATCAATTTTTTTTTTCTCTTTAAATCAAGAAAAGAGAACAAAGAATTAAAAGAGCATATGTCATCAAACAGACAAATTAGACCTGTAAAGCAAAGACTGTCAAAAACATCATTATCAGCTACACAGTGTTCTCAATGAAATCGAGTTAAAAAAGAAAGTAGTAGTCATGAAAGAAACAAATGGAGGAGTGATCCAAAAGCAGAATTGCTTCTCCGGGAAAATTAAATTGGAAAGCAATTGAGCAACCAGTTCAAGACCAATCAAACTAAGTTGAAAATCTGAAGCAGAAAACTGACCAACTCTGCAAGTTTTTGGATTCTTTAATTTGGTTCCAGAATCGGGCCATATACAGATAACAGGAATTATAAGTTCACCAATGGGATTAATGGAGGATCAAAAATGAAACCAGAGGAGTGATGATAGACGAACCTGGCAGCACCCCAGCACAAGGACGAAGATCCCAATGGCCTTGTGGGTGTCGACATCACCACTGGTTTGATCTTCCAAGAAAAAACCAGTGATTATTCCCGCTATTGCCAGGACGAATCCAGTCAACTGGATGGTAAGATGTGCGTAGAACCAGGTTGGGTCGTAGCGCTTGAAGTAGCGAGCCATTATGACTCCAAGGATCATTAGGATGCCCCATGACAAGATGTTCAGAGCTCCATGAGTAGTCTTCAGAGTCGACCCTGTGTTTGTTGATGCGCTCTGGCCTGTTCATGACAGATGGAAGAGCACTCATCTCATTGCTCAAAACCTTTCATTTTCATGTCTTAGAAATGATAGATCTTATCTACCGAGAGGAACCCACTTAGGTTGCACTCACCTGTGGCGAAATTCAAGGATGTGGAGGTCTGAGAACGGTGCTCAGCCATGAGATAATCCGGCGAAGATGGAAGATTGTTCCTTGGCCCAACGGCGTAAATCAGGCTAGACTGAGGTTGAGTGGTCTGCAATTGGAAGACGAGGAACAAACGTGATGATTGAGATGTAATGCTCATGTTTGTAACGCTGAGGCTTCCGGTATCTGGCAGGCAGGACTGAGAACCCGTCCCTCTTAGATAGTACTGCTTGATTACTCCGGCGGTGCTACTGCCGGACGGTACCCACCCGGCAATGGCACTAGTGCCGACCATCCTCCCATTGGACGAGAACCCAATTGAAACCCAGGAATTCGTGTCTGGCGTCGAGAGGATGAAGTTCCATACTGATCCAGTCTGTTCATACTGAACAAGAAAGAGAAATTAATCCTCCCACAAGTTAATCAAGGTATGAAGAACTAATCAAAGAAAGCTATATATAGAAAATGAGAAGCTTACTCGAAGGATGAAATCCTCAGAAGCCCAAACAGATTCACATTTAAGAGAGGTAGTCGAAAATGGAATATCCTGAAGACTGAGATTGGAAGTGCAAGAATCCTGTGAATGCACCAAGGAAGAAAACACAAGCAAGGAGACAAAGAATGTGGAAACCAGAGAGGTCTGCATCTCTCTGTGTGTGTGTGCTTAATCTTCCTTCTCTGGTCTAAGATTTTGGTCAGATAAGTTTCTTTGGAAGGTCCAAAAGATGGGCGGTGAAAGTTTAGGATGAATTCTGATGATCAATAAACGGGAAGCTATCTATAATATTTATGCTTATCAGTAGAGAGAGCTGTTGAATTCTAAATTATTAAGGGAAGGTGTTTTCAACAGGACCATACAACGGTCAAGCCTCCCAGTACAGACTATTTCAAACCCACCACTACCTGTCCCACCTAAGAGATGAGGGATCAGAGTTTTTTTTTTTTCGCCATCTGATCTGATCTTATAATGTTATTTTTCACAAAAATACATTACTATAGCATCTTAGTGGGACCCACCAAGTGTGGGTCCATAATATATGGACACGTGTCCCATCATGATTTAGAGGTTAATTTCCAAGGAAAATTCCTTGGGGTTCTCATCTTATCTCTAGAATAAGAACTAATTAAAGTGAAAAAAAAGTGTTTTTTTCTTTGTACAGAGAAATAAAAATAATAAAAAATGTGAGAATTTCCCTAATATATATTTGGTTACCAAATATGGTGAAGATATTTGTAAATGGTATATTTGATTACCAAATCTCTCTCTCTATATAATATATATACATATACTCAAACCAACACTTGGGGTTGGTTGGTCGATTTCGGTTTAGCTGTTCATTAATCTATTAAGTTGGTTTGATTGTCCAAAATGCTTGCAATTGAACTGATTCAACCCGTGTATACCCTAACCATGAGCTAGATGGATATATGGAATCCGGATTTTCTATTCAAGGTTTAAAGTATGGAAAATGTAAGGTATATCGGAAAGATATAATTTTAATAATGATACTTACAAGTTTTATATGATTGTAAATAAGTTATTTAAAAGTAAAAAAAAATGTAATTTAATGATTTATAAAAAATTCGAAATATCGAGACACACTTAGTAACTATTGACAAATGATGGAATAACTAAAATGTGAAAAAACAAAAAAAAACTAAAATGTATATTGGTAGACATTAGTTTTAAAATAATTAATATAATTTATCTTAATATTTATTAATACATAAATTTTAATAATTAATTCTAACATTTATTGAATAAGCATACACTAAGAAAAAGAGAAAATTTACTTAAAAATAAAAGTTCATAAACCTATAGCAAGAAAACGGGCGTGACTTAGTCATGGACCTTTAGTTGTTAAAGCCTAATTAATGGCTAGGGTTCCAATCTTACTATTGCTAAGTTTGTAGTTTTATACTAACAAAACAAATCTAATGAGAAAGAGGGTTATTAATTAACGAAATTAATGAGAAGAGTATTGAACTAAAATTGAAATCCAAATTTAAAGTTACACATTAATTATAGGAGTGATTAATTAACTAATTAATGAGAGACAAATTGCAATTAAATATAAGAGTAAATATAAAATTAATGAGAGATAATTCGACCCTAAATATAATTTAATGAAATTAATTAGAGAGAAGGGGACTTGTATTAGGTTGTATCGGATTGTTTTGGAACTGTATCGGCCGATATAGGGCCCAAAATAGTCTGATACAGACCTATACAAACGAAAAGGAATACTACCGATAATTTCTATGCATTTTGTGTATCGGACTTGTACCGGAACTATACGTATCGGCCAATATGATTTGTTACTTTGTGAAATTTTGAACCTTGTTCCTGTTCACTTTTCCTACCTGCCATGAATTGCAGCCACACATCTCTCAATTCATGACAAGTAGAGAGTGGGTAAGAAAAGTGAGTAGGAAATCCCATTTGGGACATATGGGTGGATGGAGTTAATCAGTCATTCAGTGAGAGTTAGGGGTGGTAATCAAAAACTGAAAACCGACAAATTGAACCAATGGTGAAGGTTTTAAAAATTGACTTAGAACTAGAATCGTTCTAATCACCTGTTTTTGGGTCAATGAATCAATGGTTCAACTGTCACATGGATTAACGGTTTGACCACCCGAATCAACGAATCACTGATCAATTCAACAGTTTTTGGCTTAAAAACAGGTTTAGAGTAAAACGGAATCAATTACTTGAACGATTCCCAGTTTTTGGCTTAAAAACAGGTTTAGAGTAAAACGGAATCAATTACTTGAACGATTCCCAGTTTTTGGCTTAAAAACAGGTTCAAACATTGTGGACACCTCACGCTGTCGGAAGATAGACAGCGAGTTTTAAGGACAGGGTGAATTGATGAATTGACTCTGATGTCTTGTCACTTTTCAGCAAAGAAAGAAAGACAACCGTCATCAATGCTCGATAGTTATCCGATTATCAACCAAAGAAAGCTTAGTAGCTCGGATTTGCTTTTAAAAACAAAAGTAATTGTCCCATCAGCAAAATTTTATTATTTTTATTAATGTAAAAAGCTGTTTTTATTTTCAAAAACAAAATTAACCATGTAGAGTTTAAATTGATCTTACTTAAGTAAGGTTCAAAATATCGATATACTCAATTAATATGTTGGTAGAGGCGTATCGATCGGATGATCAGTTCTTTTTTTTTTTCCAAAATTGGTTCAGGTGAGCCAATTTAAGGCTCCTGTAAGGGCATATCGAGAAGTTTCCGAAATGATATGTATTAATCGGTATGTATTGATACTTTGAACCTTGGATTAAGCCTTTGTGTGACTGCGTGTAAATAACTAAATTCTTCAAACTATGGTACTGATTTGTACCTCAGATGGGATCTGTTACTAATACAAACGTGAGAATCTTAAAAACCATTGATATGTTCTATCATAATTGATCATTTAGACAGGTTTGCACACACACACACTTGTGTTCGCATCAGATTTAGATTCCTCATACCCCTGTAATTTATATATATTGGGCATTGTTTGAATAAATGCAAGGTACTAACTGGTTAGGCGGTAAGGCCTCCTCCTGATTGTAGCCGAGGGCGAGAGGCTTGGGATTGAATTCCGCTTGCATCAGGGTTAGGGGGTCATGAATTGGCGGATGGGCTACCCCTGTTGTGTAGTCCCACGGTGTTGTAATACCACTGCCTACACCAGGGTTGGGAGTTAACTTTGGCTGTTGGCCAACAACCTATGCTGTTGAGAGCATTTTTAGGCTGAACAGTTTCACCAATTCATGCCCGTGTCTATGTTTATGTTTAAAAAGAAATAGGGATCAATTATTATTTTACCCCACTCTATGGGTTACCCCTATTGTGTTGTCCCATGGCATTGTTTGGATATATGGACCATTTGATGTTAAAAGAAATCAGATTGAAAATGATAAATGAGAGTTCTGTATGGTGAAGAGTGGAAATGCATATATGCATTCAGAGTTGGTCAATATTAAAAAGGTGGATTCCAGTTTTGGAGTTGTATTTATATGTATCACAATTAAAAATCATTTGGCAAGAGCACAAAATTATCGTTGTAAAATTAAACCAACTTTGCATTTTCGTAAACAAGACATTAACATTTGTACTAAACATTTTTTGTATTTGCGCTCTTCCAAACAGAGCCTACTTTTTTATAACTTGAGTAAGGTGCATTGCTATTCTATACTACCCATTTCTGCCATGTGGTTGGATCATCTAGCTGATCCAGGCCATACTTCATATAAGAGATCCAATGGATTGGTCATCCATTATGGTTACAGCATTATTCGGTTTTTGGAATTAGAATTTCGGTTAATCGAATTAATTGAATTTTTTATTATTATATATTTATATATTAATATATAATATATTAAAATTTGATTTCACAATATATATTTTATAATATATAATATATAATATATAATATATAATATATATAATATATTATTAAAATTTGGTTTTAAACGAAATATCCAAAAATCGAATAAAAAATTTCTGTTTTGGTTATTTTGCTTTTTCTAAATTTAGGTTTCGGTTCAGTTTTTATTTTTTTTTTAATTTGGTTTTTTAAATTTTGATTTATTCGGTTGGGTTTTAAGCAAATAAACCGAATGCTCACCCTTAGCTACCACAGTCCATGTCAGCCTTATATCTAGAGGTGTCAATTGGACCAGATTTGGTCCAATCCTATCCAGTCCAATATGAATCCATTATAAATGGATCATGTCCAATCCAATCTGATGAATACTTTGGACCATTTTGGATGGGTCCAATTCAATATCTAGACCATCCAATATGCTAAAATTAGTTTTAAATTTTTATTTGTTCCCATCCAAACCGGGTCCATTGACACCTGTATTCTTATTTTCTATCAATGAACGAGATATTGGTTCAATGTTACCCAATCCAATATAAATCCATTACAGATGGACATGCCCAATCCAATCCAATAAATTATTTGACGATTAAGTCAGGATTGGTCTGATTCAATATGACTTATTGGTTCATCCAATCCGTCCAAATTGATTTTAATTGAACGGGGTTCAACCCAAAACCGATCCATTAACACCCATACTCATATCCAAACTTGTATAAAAGAGTTGCTCAAACCCAACTGATAATAGCTTTTACATTTTGAATTTTTAATATAAAGATTACTCATAATAAAAGGGCCACTCTACAGTCTTTTGTACCAATTTAGAGAGAGTAAAACTACAAAGGCTCCCATCAATGGAGGGCTTGGAGAGGGATAGATGTATGCAACTGCAATAGCATATATATGGTATTTCTAAACCTTGTACATATTTATTTCCCAAATTGAGTTTAGGTTCCAAAATAATTTTCATAAGGTTATTGATGGATGAAATGGAGAGTACATTTGCTGGAACACTGATCTATTGAGAAAATTAAAAAACGTGTAATTTGTACACACGCTGAAACATAACATCCAACCATACATTGCGAACATCTAAGAATCTTCCATTTGCAACCTTAATTACAATGCATCCTTATGACCCCACAGCATAAATGAAACACTGCACACATTGACATCTGATTTGGTCCTCACAAGATCATCCCTCACAGTACCTTGCAATTGTGCATTGGGAATGTAATCCTCTGAAAAGAATGTACTGAGATATTCCCAATCCACACGACTACAAAAGGCTATGAGAACGGTGTAAGGACAGTTTTGTATGGACCAAATCCAAACTTGCACATATCAGATATGGATATAAAAAGGGGGAGAATAATG